ATGGATTCTGAATTTTGTTTTAAAAGTGAAAGCCAAGTTGGTGTATGTAAAGGATTTCCATGTAGCTGTGGTGCTAGTTATTACTGGCTACATTGTATGCTAAGTGTATTCGTGTTCCCCGAGTGTACAAGCCTCCTATCAAAAGTATGTTCTATAACTCATATATTCAAGGTGTAGGGTATGAAAATGCAAAGCTTAGGAGAGCACTTTACCAAGCTGGTGTCCTCCAAACTGAAATTGTTTGTAACGATAGTCTTTTACAGGTTTTCATTTAAAGATGTTTGTGTGCTTTTAATTGACAACTAACTTCTTGCTGCTGTATAGTAAAATATTAATATATTTTTATCATTAAACTGCTGCATGACTATCATCTTTGAGTGAAGAGAAAATGTTATAAAAAAGATGCCTTAAACAGTACATTTTGGTTTGGAAATCTGTAGAGAGTATTTTGGTAAAAAAAGAAAAAGAAAAAAAGGGATCTTGTCTGACAGAGTTCTGGGGATGGAATTGTTTCTTGGCAAGTCCAGCCATATAGATCTAACTGCTGTATGTGGAAGACACCACCTGTAGGAGCGAGATGGTATCAGTGCTTCTCACATTGTAAAGCATTGGCCTAGGAAGGCGAAACAGTTATCTTTTTGAGGATTTTTTTTTCCTGCTGGTTCTTTGGGTTTTGATTTGACATTTTAAGCTCCCTGGTTGAGTGTGTTGTCTTTGTTTTTGAGATCTACTGTATGTGTTGAATAACAAGCTATTTTCATTGTACTGTGCATTTTCCCATTAAATTGTTTGCTTTTAATATTCATACAATGTTAAATATGAGGTGACCGTACAGTAGTTAGGAGTTTCTTTACTTACAAAATCACTGGAAATGATTAAATTGCTTTTCCCCCTCCCCCAAGATGCATTTTTCTTATTTCCATATAGTAAAGTTGAGCTTTTACAGTGCGTAATGTGACATTTGGAATGCTTATCAACTGCATGTAAACATTAATAACCTGCACTTTTTTGTCTTAAGGTTTGTTGAGCTGTTTTGTTCACTGTACTTTAACTGTGATATGGAAAAGATTGCATTCTCTGTGCTGTTACTAATTAGGAAAGAGAATTGCTTTGATTTTGTCTCTTGTTTACTATAGCTTCTTAAAGTTAAGCCTTGTACTACAGGTTGTTGGAGTACTCCTAGATCAGTGTTTCCTAGTAGCCAGCAATAAGTAGTGCGAGTCAACAAAAACACAGCGAACTTAGGCAAAGTGTCCTTTCTTTGAGATGCGAGTTCTTTCCTGAGGTTTTCTTTAGGGTCAATTACCTAAAGTGAAGCCTTTCTTATCTATAGACTTCAGATTCTGCTTGGAATCCTACCGGATCAAGAAGCACATGTATTGTGCAATTGTCTTTACACTATAACAGTTGAACACAATCTTACTAAGATTTTGAGACCATTGTCTGATTTATGGTCAGTGGGTTTAAAAAGAAACCCACATGCAGATCTTTTAAGACTTAAGAAGTGATCATAGAGAAGACTAAGTGACTGTAAAGATGCTATCTTTTAAGCATCTCACTTTACCTCCCAAGCACCCTCCCAACCTTCCCTTCTCTCTCCTGAATCATCTGTCCCCTGTCCTTCCCTCCCACCCCCAGGTGCTCGGTACTTTACCAAGGTTCTATATCTCAGTGTTTTATGTTGGAGTTTTTCCTTGTTTTTATTTTACTGGTTGGTAAACCTTATTTTGTGATGAAACAAAAAATGAAATGGTATATTTGACCATATGTGTTATTCATGGAAGACAGTATGATCAAATGTGCCAAAAACAAGCAAACAAAACTTAATTTCTGACGAGTATGCCTTATTTTTATTGATCTGCTTTGTCTTACAATTAAGGTCCAAGAGCTTGGTTAAACTATGTTATTTGCCTAAGTGTAAAAGAAAACTTAAAATGCATTGCAATATTGACATTCTTTAAAATGAGAGACACTGTCAAGTAATTTAATCCAGAGATCAGCCACCAGATTTGAAATGTGTGCATGTGTGTGTGTGTGTGTGTGTGTGTGTGGTATTGTCTATTTTTTTAATCACCAAATCTTTTTTTAAGCTACTTTTTATTTGTGCCTCCTATTTATCATGCTGATGTTAGAAACAGCAGTCATCCAGCCACAGAGGGAGCTAAAGTTAACTAACCAGAACTGTAGAAATCATTATACATGCTTTTGACAACAAAGGAAGTTCATAAGAAAAGCCATGTTGGCTTTTCCTCTACTAGATACAGATTGGAGATAGATGAATATTTGCCAAATGGAAAAAAAGACAATGCTAGTCAAGAAAGACAAACTGTTTTCCAGCTTCTCAAAAGCCATGGAGAGTAGAAACCAAAACCAACAGGGAAATTAAAGAAAAAAACCTTGAAAGTCTCACTTTCTAGTTGTCCTGTGCAGGGGTTGAAATTTGACTCAAAGTGGAAAGTATATCAGTGTTTTTAGGCCTTCACATTTAAATATGGATAACTATTCCAATTTGATTTTTCAGGTAATGAAGAAAGCTGCTAGTAATTTTAACCCCTGCCTAAAGAAAATAATTTCATTTGGGAGCAAATACTTATTGCCTTGAAAAATAGCACTGTAATAGCCTATGGTAATTAGTAGTAGAATAACCTTTATCCCTTTCCAACTATGCAAATTGTTAAATAAGTGTAAATTAGAATTCAATTAAAGATAGTTGATTATATTGCAATCAGATGGCATTCACAAACTTAACTGGAGCATATACAAATAAAAACTATTAGTCAATAAGAGTTTTTTTATGCTAACAAAAATATAATTTAGCTACCTATTCTAAAAAATGGTGAATATTATTAATATTGTGTAATAGGACTGGGAAGACTGCCTCCTTTTTTGAAGAGAGAGATTAAGGATTTTTATAATTGTTTTTCATCAGATTTTACTATTTTTGTCAAATTTTTAGGTATTTAATTTGTAAAACAGTTTGCTTTGTACTGGCCTACAGAAAATAGGGTATTGATTTTAAACTTTTTGAAGCCAAGTGATCAAGTACATTTGTAATAAAAGTCAATGGATCTATATCAGTTGTACTCACTGTTTTCATTTCTTATTAATATAGGGATGCTGTGTATTTTTTCTGCAGAAAAACAACTAAATTTGGGTGGAAGGGAGGGAAGAAGATAAATCTGTTGATGATGAGAATCTGGGCGGGTATAATGGCCCAAGCACTTTATATTGTCTTGAAGTCAGTAATGATTTGGCATATTTAAAAATATGTGTCAACTTTTTTCTTCCTGTTTTCTTATGATCCTTGATGTTTTCGAGGGAGGGAGTGGGGGTATATCATTCATTTTTCTTCCTGTGCTTTAACATTTTGCATTTTGGCACTGTTGAAGCTTTGTAAAACTAACACATTTTTCTTTTATGACATTTGGGTTATCTCCCACCTATACCCCACGATGGGCATGATTATTTTATATCTAACATATGGCTCACCATCTCTTCTATAGTATTTTCACTTATTATTTTTGTATTACACACATACATACAAACACACACACACATACACACAGACTTTCCAGATAATTTTAAAAAGAGGCTTTTGCTTTTTGAAATTGTTGCTCTGGCAGCTTTCATAGCTTCACAATTCATTTTTTTAAATGTAAACATACTGTTAGGATTTTTTTCTCATAGAAAGTGAGATACCAAATCTAGTGACTTTTTTCTCTTTTAAAAGTCTTCTGAGTATCAGAATGAGATCTTGCTTTCTATGGAAAAGGATGCTAAAACATCTTTAACAGTTCATGATAACTCTGAACATAACATTTATAGTTGTTTATTCCTAAATTTGAATATTTTAATAATTTAGACATATATACATCTCCCTGAGAGTGAAATAAATAAGACTGA